TATCAGTTGGCATGCCAATGGTAATGATGTCAACACCAATGCCAATGCTAATGCAAATGCATAGCCAATGCCAATGCTAGTACTACTGTTGCATCCATTACTAATGCGAATGCCAATAACAATGAACCGTGTGAATGATATTGATAATTCTAATGCCGTTGCTAATTCCCTCCTGCAGTCATCACGCTATGCGGCACATCCCAGTGCAGCATTCGCAGAGACAACGGCACAGGGTGCCTCGCGATCGATTGGCGGCACACATCGACGCACCCTGTCCTCCGCCTCGTACATCTCGATGCGATCACAGCAGCTGGGAGCGACGGGCAATGCCAATGGAGCGCCAACGGATCGACCGAAACGCAATCGCTGCTTCGAATGGATACGCGTTGCCTGCAAAATTTGCTGCTGCAAGGTTTGTGGGCTGTGGAGAAAAAATTCCATTGAATTGCATTTTAATTGATCGCAAGACAAACAAATCAATTGCAGCGATCCCAATGCCAGACTCAGACCCAAGTCAAAATTCCCCCACGTTTGCATTATTCAGGCTGTTTCCGATTTCAGCTGGTGTCGGTTTAATAACTGACTTTGATTTCAGTTCTAGTGTATTTTATATATATAAATATGCATATATAGGGTTATATTTATAGAAACTTATCTATAAGTAATCCTAGTTTAGCGATTGGTTTATTAATTCTAATAGACTTAAGCAGCAGAGACAGATGCAATCTGAGTTCTCTCTCTAGGTCAAATTTCGTATTGTCTTTAGTTGTTTTATATATGATAACTAAAATTGATAAAATATCAAAACTGTAACTATTAATACTATAGATATGATATAGAGCTAAGCTAAACTAAGTTCGTACATATTTATATATTAGTTTTCTTTTTTACTAAAATTACATCTTAATGTATATTTATTTTCTTAGTCAAACAATTATTCAATTACGAAATTATTGCTTTACCACAACGTATCAATAATAATAGATGTTATAATAATTATTAACGAATTTCATTAGCTAATGTATATCCACCCCTATACAATTTATATACCCACAGAGTTCGGGCATCGGCGAGCCAAGTGTACATCATGCGCTGATTGTGATATTTTTAGAGTTCTTCGCCTGGGGTCTATTAACCATGCCCATCATATCGGTCAGTATACACATATTTCCAATATAATGAAGCATTTGCAATAATAATGGTATTGAAATCTATTTTCATAGACGCTCAACCGTACATTTCCGGATCACACGTTCCTCATGAATGGCTTGGTGATGGGCATCAAGGGCATACTGTCCTTTCTGTCGGCCCCCTTGATCGGCGCTCTGTCGGACATCTGGGGTCGCAAGTTTTTCCTATTAGTTACAGTATTCTTCACCTGTATGCCCATACCGCTGATGTGCATAAACACATGGTGGTTCTTTGCCTTGATCTCAATTAGTGGCGCATTCGCTGTCACCTTTTCGGTGGTGTTCGCCTATGTGGCCGACGTGACCACACCGGAGGAACGATCCAAGGCCTATGGCCTTGCCTCGGCCACATTTGCAGCCAGTTTGGTCATTTCGCCAGCGCTGGGCAATGCATTAATGGACATGTATGGCGATACCCTAGTGGTAGCGCTATCCACAGCGATTGCGGTGCTAGATGTATTCTTTATACTAGTCGCTGTGCCGGAGAGTCTGTCGGAGAAGATGCGACCGGCCTCATGGGGTGCGCCCATTAGCTGGGAGCAGGCGGATCCCTTTCTGGTAAGTGAACATCCAATCAAATTAAATATGAATATTTTAAGTTAATAAAATTCTTTTTTTTTTTTTTCAGGCACTACGCAAGGTCGGCACAGATAAGACTGTCTTGATGCTGTGCTTAACTGTGCTACTCTCCTATCTGCCGGAGGCTGGAGAGTACTCCTGCATGTTTGTCTACCTCAAGCTGAAAATGGGATTCAACTACGTGGAGGTATCCATTTTCATCGCCGTTGTGGGCATACTCAGCATAACGGTGCAAGTGACACTTGGATCGTTTATGAAGTGAGTTGAAAACATATATAGAAAATCCCTCAGCAAATACTCATCAGAGATATCTTCATTCATTCCAGAGTCTTTGGCGCAAAGCGCACGATCATTGTGGGCCTAGCCCTGGAGCTGATTCAATTATTGTGGTATGGTCTGGGCAGTCAGAAGTGGTAAGCAGCATGAGCAATACAGGGTTTTGTTGGGCGTTAGTTAATCTTAACTTACTTACAGGATGATGTGGTCCGCAGGTGTGGTAGCTGCCTTAGGTTCAATTACCTATCCCGCTATTAGTGCATTTGTCTCCCTATACGCTTCGCCGGAGAGTCAAGGTTAATCAAAATTTTGATAGCTATTGTCTGTGCAGTATTTACGCCCAGTTATCTCTTGTAGGTGCCGTTCAGGGCATGATCACGGGCATGCGTGGCCTATGCAACGGCCTGGGGCCCGCTGTTTTTGGCGTCATCTTCTATCTGTTCAATGTCGACTTAAATGCCGATCATGAAGCCATTATGAATAACAGTCATCCGACGAACGTTGAGAAGATCTCAATGCATGTGCCCGGTCCACCATTCGTTTTTGGAGCCCTGTGCGTCTTCTGTGCCATTGTTGTGGCCGCATTCATACCCGAGGGCCAGCAGGCGGTGCTGGAAAAGAAACGTAAGGAAGAGGTTAATTCATAACACCAACAAAAATGAAATAGAGAAAAATCAGCAAATAAAATATCTGAACTTTCCTCAAGAAATGAAAAAAAGAGAAACGAATCTAAATCAATATATCAAATTGAAAAGTGTTTTATACCGATAAATCTATATGCCTAAATCTGTTTACTATCTCTCTGTTTTTTCTCTGTACACTGCTCTCTGGATATGAATTTGCAGGTGCCTCGCTCGATGTGCAGTACGAGATCGAGACAGGGCACAAATTGCCCAGCTCGTTGGCCCCGCTGATACGCTCCGATTCGCTGGCGCAGCTGTAGTCGGTCACACCCATCGTCATTAATACATGATAAATAGTAACTGTAACAAATGCTGTAACTAGTGTCGCTTTAGTTTAAACTTAACAACAACCACAACATATATTGAGTTTCGATGCCTCTAATTTTGTTTGTATTCACATTTCTCTTCATGTGTGTAATGTACAATTATTGTCATACTAATTAGTTAATTGATTACTTATGAGCTATTTATTTTAAAAGATAACTCTGCACTCATTTTGCCACTGCGTGTGCTTGCCCCCAAAATGAAAAGAAAAACTAATAATAATCTTAATAATAATAGTATAGAGAAAGGGCCTGTGTTAATTTTCACATTCAACTTTGTAACATCACAGCGACAATTTGTATTGTAGAAACAGATCAAGAAAAACGAGAAAAAAACAAGAAAACAAAAAAAAAAGGAAAACAAAAACAACTGCCAAATACAAAAATAATATACAAAGCTTATTGTTTATATAAATATATATATATGTTATATATATTGGTCTATACTAATTGTTCGTATATATTTTTTGTGCTACACACAGCTCTAAACAGTTTTAATTTCATTAAGCAGTCGAAATGAATTTCAAAATAAAAAAGAAAAGAAAAACAATTTTAAATTATAAATTACTTATAATTACTAATTAGTATTAATTGTGTAGCAAGCTTTACTTTGCAATCTGTAGTGATCCAAAAATTCAAGAGTCGTGAATCGAGCATCAAGTGTCGCAAATGAGGGAACGAAGTCGTGCGTTTCACTTAAACTAAATAAAATATAACGATAATAATAATGCTAACTGTTTAATAGCTTTTATTTTGATAAAAGAAACAAAAAATACAAATTAATATTATTGTTTTTTATTGAATTAAACAAGGCTTTAGGCATCAATAATTAATAAGCCAGTGCGTAAGTAGTTGTAAAGTTCTTTTGCATGTGCTATCAAAGGTGCAAAGTTTCAACATCTTGTAACATATATATATATATATATACATGTATATATATGAAGGCGTGAAACATATAATGTAGACATATATATATATATTTTTAATTTTGAAACGCAATTAATGTGTATCGCAGTTCAATGTAAAACTGAAACCAAATTTCTAATGTAAATTATTTAACATAGACAACACGATTGTAAAGGCATAAATAAATGTCTATATAATAACTAAATGTATGTACAAAAACTTTTGACGCAGTAAAAACATAAAAGGAAAAAAAGTGAAGAAATACAAAAATACGAAATGATGTGAAATTAAAACTCAACCAAGAATTAAACAAAAGCAACAATTGTGTAACAAATAAAAATATGTTTTGATGAAATTCCAGATATGGCTTTTTTATACATAAATTGAAATAAATATATATTCATTATACTTATGAAGGGGTCTCTAGATAAATCAACTGAGATTTAATTATTCTTGATATCTTTAGAAATTTAAATTTATTCTTAATATTATACAACATTATACTCTTATTATATAGTACAAATTATAATTTACTTGCGAATTATTATTTTTTTGTATTACCTCGACAAATATCAATAGGTCGCGCATGGTTTTGCATACATATTTCAGATATTTCAATAGACTAGACTCGAAAAAATTAAGGCAAATTAATTTTTCAAGGCAAAAAAAAAATACTCTAAACTCTTATAGAGTTTACTTAGAATATTTCCTGAGGTATCGACGGTCCACCACTCAACCCGAGGCAAAATGAAAATCTCACAATATAACATAACTTTATGTGTCACAAGTTAGGATCCAGTATGCTTTTGGCTTAGATTGTAGTAGTCATTGTTTGATTTTTTTGATTCACTTCACTTGTTGTATAAATTACACTCCATTAAAAGTTTATATATTTGTCGCAGTTTTTAGCAGTTACTATTCTGCATGTGCAGCTAAATTTTATGTGTTCCTCTCATCCCATAGATGTACGTGATTGTTAGTATCAATACGAAAGCACAAAAAAAAATAGAAATAGAAAAATCAGTAGTAAGAGTACCGGGTAAATGGCTGCGGAGGAGGGTACAACGCGCCGTAAAACCAAAACGCGCTATCGTTGCTATCCAAATTTATCTGTTCGCCTAATCGGCATAGTTCAAATTGTTGTTCTATATGTTCTACTCGTTGGACATGCATCGGCGCAGAGGGTTTGGCATGATACGAATGTTGGTACAGGCACCATACACGAACAGCTGGGGCAGCTTCATTATCCCGATCCCGAACTAACGCCCTACACATCAAGAATCGAGTATATTAAAGATACCAAGCGTAACACTTGGTCCGTAACGCCCGCTTATAATATATCACAATTTCTTTTCGATTCAACGATAAACGATAAGCCATCTCTGCCAGCTGGTAAGTCTGAATATAAATATATCTATCTCTATCTCTCTCACTGTATGACGGTCAAATCAGGATATTTGGCTGTTAGAAATGACGATACCTTGATAATGGGTAGGAAAGTTGACAGAAACGATTGGAGCGATCTGTTGGCACAATATGCTTTGGTCATCTTGTGGGTGATATTCTTGTTGACTGTGATAATTCTATTACCATTTCTAGCGTAAGTCTCGACACCGATTTACCTGCACCTGCATCCTTATATCTACATATATCACGTTTCACCTGGCAGCGTTTGCTATTGTTGTTTCTGTTGTTGTCGCCGTTGCAAACGGGGTTGTGGTCCTTGCGATGGTCCTAGGGATAGAAGAATGAGCATGATATGCGCCGGAATACTACTTCTCTTAATCATTCTCATTCTGTAAGTCGTCTAAGGTGCGCAAGTGTGGCCACCTTCTTGATTAATTATTTTTCGTTTCCAGTTTGGGTGCCATTGTTGCCTTTGCTTCCAATCGCGCCTTAGATCGCGGCTTGGAAGAGACATCGGACACAGTGAAGCGAGGCAGTCAGGACACCTGTCTCTACTTGGAGGATATGAATGCACATCTGGACCATATTTTTGTCTACAACTACCAGGAATTTGAGGATCACCTGAATGAATTACTGAATAGTAAGAGAGCATATTGGCTTTGTAGAATCCTTGTCTAACCTGCTTCTTCTTTATTCACAGATGCCCATAATCATATATTCTTGGACCTGGCTGATACATCCGAGGCCAATGCCATCGAGCAGTTGGAGCGCATCTTTGATAATATGAAAGAGGCGAGAACTCTAATGAGGCAGGTGGAAAGTTTGGAGAAGGAGTTGCGCTTCTATACATCACAGCTGAGAGATGGTAAATGCGACTTAATTGTAAAATGATCCCATGTTTATATATTTTTCATTCTTAAGGCGTTCGCGGAGCTAAACGTGATGTGAACTATGCCTGTGGCAGTTTGGTTTTTGGTCATAAATGTAGAGACTTTTTGAGAAACTCTGAAATGGAATCGGTTGATATGTCCCCCTGTCTGCACATGGACTATGTAAGTATATCAGTGAATCAGAAAGTGTAGCCTAGACATATATTCCGGCGCACAGAAACAGCAGCGGAAATTCACTTTTAGTTTAATGTCTTTAGCTCCGTCAGTTAATTTCTTAAGTATTTCTGTAGTTAATCTAATCAATCAATTTGTCAATTAAGCAATCAATCTAATCAAAGATATCTGTTTCAGCTGCCGAACACTACTGTTTTTGTGGAAGGTACAGATCAAATTGTCAACGACGATGTTTCAGTGATACCGAAGCTCGCTCTGCGACGTTTACAAGATGTTGGCATAAAAATCGAATCCGCTATGGCGGTAGTCATACCTGCAATACAGAAGGATGTGCTGGACGGTCGCGATAAGTTCCGTATGCATGCCAATAGGATCACCAATCAGACGGAGGCCTTGATCAGTAACATCCAATTGAAAACGATTCGCTCGACAAGATCTTTCGAAGATATCTACGATAGGTTTGGCCACGATCGAAGTGTTATCAACTCACTTGTCTGTGGTTTCTTGTTTATTGTAAGTCGACAGCTTCAACACATTCTCATCATAGCCAAGGACAATCTGTGTGAGATACGCTTGCTAACATAATATTCTCCACTCCACAGATTGTCTTTCTAATTTTGGTTTCCTTGCTGTGCGGATGCTTTGGTAGGAAAGGATCAGGAGCCACATGTTTACTTATGTGAGTTGATCAAGATTATACGCTATATGTTACAGGGTAACCCTTAGTGCAATCATAAGTATGCTAATAATCTTCCCTTCGTTACAGCTCGATAATGTTTATATTCATTGTGTTCTCGTTCATTACGCTGGTTGGTTTATTCTACTTTGTAATGGGCTTGGTTGCATACCAGGGCGCATGTGCCCCAGTACGGGACCTCGATAATAATGCCATATTCAGAGAGCTGGATGGGACCATTGACCTGAGGGATCTAATAGAGGAGGAGCAGACAGATATACAAGAATATTCAGAGCTGAAGATGTCAACGGCCATCAACGCCTGCAGAGCGAATGAGTCTATATTTGATTTGCTTCTGAAGCATAAACTCTACGATATGGATGATTTGATGAACGAGGAAGTGATAAGAGAAAAGCCTGAAGATGAGAAAAAGGAGACCATATTTGATGACGATCTATCTACCACAGTTCTATTAACGAAAGAGGACAAGGAAAGACTCGAGAGCGTGCGCAATGGCAATCTTGCGGAATTCAATAGTGTTCTTTACCTAAGCAATATGTGCGAGACTCTAACACCGAATTTAGCCGCCTTGGCAACAGGTCTAAGGCAGATACGAGATAGTATAGCACATAGTGAAAAATATGATTATGATAAATATGCCCGAGTCTCGTTGTCTAACGAAGCTTACCATTTGGATACGTACAACATGGAGTGGACGGATAAGATATTAAGTATTATATCAAATATGAAGAGCAAATTGGCCCGTATCGATGACCTCATCTTGTATGAGAAACGAAACTTCAGTAACTCAATTAAGGTGCTGGTCGATGCCGTAGTTCGATCTGAAACATTTATCCACACACGTGGCAGCGAATTCATAAACACGCTCGGTGAAAATCTCACAAATGTGGTCAATGCACAAATAGAGGACTATAAGCAAGGCGTCATCAAGGAATGCACTAAGAATGTGGGTCGTTGCGCCCCACTCGCTTATGTCTATTATCGCGGAGTGGATCTGGTCTGTTATCGTCTGGTTGATCCAATTGTAAGTTATTATACACATTTATTCGCAGGCGAGTTCATCGGTTTAAAATGATCGTTTAAAACTTTGCAGAATGGTATCTGGATCGGCTTGCTTCCCGCTGCACTGCTCCTGCTACCCCTATTGTTTGTCGCGCACAAGCTGATGTGCTTGTGGCGCAGATTAAACTCTTATGCGGTGCCGATAGTCGTAGTACCCGAGACAGGGTAAGTAACCAAAAATGGGATATATAGATTGTTTTTAAAACTAATTGATTATTATGATCACAGCCCCACGTGTCCCACCTGTACGGGTCTACCGTATACACCGCCACCAATTTTCACCTGTAGCGGCGGGCAGCAGGCGAGCTGCGTTTGTCGGGAGACGGAAACCAAGCGTACAGATGGTGGAGGTACCTTCAACGATAGCTCCTCGATTGCCACATCTGAACAGAATGTCATTGTTGAGCCGCCCGGCAGCCCAGTTGTCGATCATCAGATCCAGAATCAGTCCCAGTTGCAGACCCCAGCTCAGGCTCAACCCCAAGAATCAGCAGCCATGAAACCGAAAAATGATTAGAAAAAATGATTGCACACGGATTGAAAGAATTTTATGATTTCTGCAGATAACAAGACAAGATAACAACAATCAGAGTAAATTTAAGTGTGTTTATATTATACGTAATCGTGTGTCTACATTAGCACGACTGTAAAACATAAAACATAAACGAAAATAAGATGAGATTGTGTAATATTCGTTTATGTACCACTTAAATAATTGTTTTTTTCTATTTAACTTAAGATGGGACTTATTGGGGTTAATCTGTCAATAAACTGGGTTTCCGCAGCAAGATTCGTGCCCTGGGTGGACTAGTAATAATAATAGTATTCAAACTCAGCGCCAAGGTTTCGTTAACAATCGAATTCAAAACAAAACCCAGCACAATGTAACCGAACTTTCCCAGCATCGTTACTAGTGGGCTATCGTAGAAAGAGATTTGGACGGCAATTGAAGTAAAATGGCTATCTTTTAACAATCAACTGCTCGAATATATTGAAAATAAATTTAGCTTATAGGCAACTATTATCTAAGCTATCAATTTTTTTAAAATTTGAAACAGTGAGAGTCGTTACAATACATATCAAACTATCGCACAAATGAAATATTTGTTATATCGATATTTAAGGAATACCGATAGTCGATAAGTGGTTGCAGATTTTGACAATTCATCTCTAGTAGTTGTCGTGGGATACGCGCGTCGAGACGGACGTTCGGCGGCGTCTACGTTCTGGTGGAAATTGCGATAATTGTCGTTGGTTTAATTAAAAAAAGGTGATTTATCCAGTGACCAGAATGAAATTCTGAATTAAACTCATTTTCTTTTTAAATTATAAAAAGTGTAAAGTGTTGTGAACTTATGAACCGAGACTCACCACCAAATTCGTTTGCTGTGTGCTGTGTGCTGTGAAAACAAAGAAAAGAATGTTGTGATGGTAGCAGCAGCAGCCCAGCAGCAGCGGGCGTTGCAATAGATACACACACATTCATACATATGCACATGTTGTATATGCATTTATGCATATGTGTGTGTAATATAAGAAAACACGATTGGCAATTGAAAAAAATATAGTTGAAGCAAAAGTCTTATCGAAAATTTCAAATTTTTCAATGAAAAGTCTAGAATAATATTTATATTTGTAGATCATTCGGTTATATTTGATTTTCAATTTCGAAATTATTGTTAATATTTCGCCACGTGCAATTGTGAAATTTCAAAACATTCCAGCCAAAATTTTGTATATTCCCTTACATGCTGTGTGCATACATACAAACATATATACACAGTTGACCCACGCACAGCTGCAATTCCAATTAGAATACGGGGTCGCAGGCCATTGGAAGCTGCGATGTAGACAAAGAAAGGGCGGGGTACAAGTGTGTTAGCATGTACATATGTATATAAAAACGTATAAATGTTTAGATGTGCACAAAAAATGAAAAAGCATGTGTGAAAAAGTAACGGTGATTATTTGCATCAATAGTCTGTTCCATTATTCCCTTTATTAAATATTTCCAATCTAATAATGAGTGTTGTACAACGTTAAAACAGCTACTGCACAGTTGCACTTGGAGTTGCAGTTGTGTCTCGCGTGTTATTGTTGACCACAAAGTGTTGTTGTATTTCAGTGGCAGTGGCAGACCCCCAAGCACGCACACACACACACACACACACACAGGCAAACGTGAAACGTTCTTGGCTTTGTGCATGTGTGTGTGGTTCTGGTTTGCTTGACATTAATGACTAATTGGATTTGGAAGTCGCCGTCGACCAAAAAGATAATACGTATGTATGTATGTGTGTGTGCATGTGTATGGCAAAGAAGCTGGGACAAAGGCACATAAAAAAATAACCGTTACTATTATTATTGTCTGATTCAGCTTGTTTATTTCAATTGCTCCGGGTACACGGCACGAGTGCAAACGAGAGGTCGGGTGTGCGGCCGAGGTGAAGGCAGCGCAATGCGACGCTCTCCTTTATCTCTTTTATTCTGCTTTGTTTTTTAACGTCAAATCAGCAGCACGACCCGAAAGCAACAAGCAACAAAAAAAGAATTGTATCCAGTACATGTGTACCGCAAATCTGCTTTAAGAAAGGGTCGAATAACTAAGACGAGGAGAAATACATAAAGAAAAGCGCAGTTGAAAAACAATATCTGATTTTAAAATTGCGTGAGAGCTTTTGATACACAGCATTTGCGCAGATACAGATACAGATACATCCCTGACCTGTGTAAAACGTGTACACACACATATGTACATATGCAAACATATGCTGTATACGTATATGTATATGCATGTTAATGCCATTACCTATATTCCCATGTACAAGCATACCCTACATACATATATATGCAGCCTCTATATAGGTGCTCTAGCTGAGGCCGGAGCTCCAATCAAGTGGCCTATGCGCATGTACTATGTATTTATAGCAAGCGACGCCGGCATAGGCATATACACGCACACAAACACACGCTCTTTCATATATGTACATGTTCGACTCTGTTTTTCGGCAGGCTTGCATGACAAATGAAGTTTGAAAGCATATCGAAAAACAAAACACTAAATTGAATACTCTTCACATAGAAACTTTCAGAGCAATAAGACCTATTTAAAAAAAAAACACTTTGAACATTATTCATTCATTGAATGGGATGTGAACCCGGGACCTCTTGGTTTGTGTACCAACGCTTTACTCACAGCGCCGTGAATGCGACATCCGTGATGTTGAACTATAATTCCCAACTCTAATGTCAAATATTTGCAAATATTGCAAAGCAAACACACACGCGTCCAAAAATATACAGACAGCGCCTTTATTTTGAGTGAAAGCGGCTTGCACCTAAGAAGTACGAATCGAACTTATTGAGGTCAACAAAAGTTGTTGTGCGCCGTGCTTTATCTACATAATGCAATGGATGGGATTATTGCAAGTAGCTTGCAGGCAGGTGACGAATGGTAGCAGACAGGTTCAACTTAGAAGAAAATATAAGTATGTAGGTCAACAGAAATTTTCTTTAACTTTGCGATATCAAATTTTTGTAAATCAATGAGCTAGTTACAAGCAGGTTGCCCGAAGTTTACAAGTAGGTTACAAGCAGCTCGTGTTATCTTACTTTTCCTCTCACTCTTTGGCTCTCTCTCTCTCTCTCTCTCTGTCTATATCGACCCTATTAAGTATATAAGTATGTGTATATAAATATATGTACGCATAAATCTGGAAACTTCAATGTGAAATGGATATTCTCATAGACCAACACGCATAATGGGTAACAGCTAAACAAATGTTATGGAGTATGAAATAGCAGCTGCAAATGTGTGTTTTTGTTTTTTTTTATTTGTTTATATAATAAATGTATACATAAAACAAAAACAGAAACAAATGTATAAAGAAGTGGAAAACTGAGCTGCTGGCTGGGCGGAAACTTCGTCTTGCGCTGTTAGCTAGAAAGAAATCTGGCCGGCTGTCATTTGATGAGCAGATATACAATACATCTATATGTTTGTATATAAATATATTTATATATTTGAAGAACCGGTATAGTCGTTGGCCAAGGGAAACTGGTTTACCGGCCATCTGACTCACCAGCTGAGGCCGCGATAGCAAACAACACCAAATTTTCGTGGGCTAATCAAAAGCTGACAGAAAGAATCATTTTCAATTGAAATTAAGTGCGAGCGTGCGAGCGAGCCAAAATGCAAACAATGAACGTATATGATTGTAAATTACAATTATGCTCACGCGCGCAGCTTGATAAAGTGTGGGAGAGAAAGAGAGATAGCAAGAGAGAGAGAGAGAGAGTTAAGTAGAAAGAGATGAAAAACAGACAGGAAGTGGCTGGAAAAGCAGACTAAGCCATGGATTTGCATCGTGGCTATACATATTTGCCATACCCTAGAATTATATACAATGAGGTAGCATGATTCGCGTTTGACAATAGGAGTTTGAAATGCGTAATTCCCATTAGTCCCCAGTTTATTTAGATGTGTAGTTCGTGGGCGCTTTATAGTATATTCTATTCGTATTTGCTAATTATTTAGGTCAGAAATACTACGGACTTACTCAACACTCCAATAGAATGGATAATTCATACGAACTACTATATATTGTAGATCGTAATGACTAAATAAATGACTAAAATGTTATAACTAAAAGAGCAATAGACGGTATATTTACTTCTTACAAAATTTTATATATATGAATATATATAAGTATTTAAACACAAGGCCAATGCGCTGATATAATATTTCTTATTTAATGTTGTTTTTGTTTTGGTAAACAAACTCGACCGACAGTTATTCAATTAAAAAATGTGCTTCTTAGGAATTCCGTAATTTACGGTGATAAACAATTCGTCTGCTACGCTCGAAAATGCTTTTAAATAATATACATATGTATATACTCATGAATTTCTATGTATGTATATATACCCGACATTATCATCGTTGAGCCAATGGGTTATCTCTAAGTTTTTGTATTGTGTCCATCGCTCCAGTTCAACAGCTCCATAAATAAAGAAATAGCAAAAGTGTATACAAACACTTTCCATTAAATATCAAGTGGTATCTACTTATAAGTACTTGGAGCAGTATTGCTTAAGCGAAAGGTAAAAACCTGTTAGACTTGGATCTGCTAGATAAACTAGACTCGGACTCAAGAAGTGGGTCGAACGGCTATTCGCTTTGCTTTTCTGACTTTTCGCTGAAGTGAATATGCCCAAAAATTAAAAATAGTTGATCTACATATTTTAAAATCGAGAAGTAGTTGATAATATTTTTATTTGCTGGTAATCTATTTATATTTTTACTTGTAGTCAAAAAACATATTTTGTTGATTAAGTTCAAGCATATGTATTTCCATAAAAAGCAAATAGTTTAAACTTCGAAACTTCTACGTAAATAAAAAAAAAGCAGCTCCACAATGTGATTCTCTTAAAATGTTGGAGAGAAAAGGGCTAGGATGTCGATGTATTGTTTCGGTTGAAGTAGAAGGCATAGGATGCTGAGAGAGGAGCGAAAGAAAAGTAAGAGCAGTAAAGGGAATAGAAGTGGGATTAGTGAAAGTACTTGAAGAAAGACGGCCAAGTGGAGAAGTAGAAGAAATGAGAAGCTAGGGAATCAAATGACTTGATGTCGATGACACTCGTTGAAGCATATACAAAAGCTTGATTACAAGTGTTACAAGTGCTTTAAGGAAAAACAACTGGAGCAGCGGCAAATGGAGAAGTATTAGGTAGTGGAAGAAGGGGAGCGGTAAAAAGTGAAAGGAGAACAAACATGATTAGGAGTAAAGCCAAGATAAAGAGCGAAAGGCACAGTCTTTATGCTCAACATATATTTCACTACCCAAAACAAACAGACTTGAGATGTTCATCAAAATTATTATTTATGGAAAATAAAATCAAGCATATTCCACTGCTTGTTTATTGATTGTAAATGTTGAAATAAACATGGAAAGTAACATAAAATTTAACAGAGAGCTACATTTATTCAATGTAAATTTGACAGAGTTATGGCTGTTGCAGAAGCCGCCCCAAAAATCGGGGCTCCCACAGCTGCTGAGCACTGCGCATGTGCTTATTATTAACGGCTCTGCAAATGATGCTGTTGTGTTGTGTTTTGTTTTGATGTTGGGCGAAGCAGAAATCGTTTATGTTGTGCGTTTGATAATAGCTTTGACCTCCGCCCCTTTGACCCCGTCCAAGCAGCAAAAACAGAGCAGCAGCAGCGGCAGCAATTGCTATGCGACTCGCTTCCAGCTTTTTGTTTTCAGCTTATGTCAAGGCCGTTCGACTGCTGAGTGCTGAGCTCGACGCGCTGAGTAGGCGTGGGTATACAGAATTTTGCAGAGCAGAGCAGAGCAGTCGAAATGCATACATACATACGAAATATATACAGGTATATAAACATATATAGATGACTAACGAATCGACAACCTTTGCGTCAAGATAAAAACGATAAAAGATAATTTTTTCATAGGCTACTCGTTTAGATGCTCAGCTAGTTTACAAGCCATTTACGCCGTGCTAGACACGTCAATTAACTAGCTGTTAACTAATGCGACACTTGAAGTAATGCGAAAAACTGCCAAGTGGAGCATCGATGATTGCAAAAAGCAAACAGTAGTAAAAAGTGCACATAAAAAATACACAGACTAAAGATAAGGCTCTAAAAAGTGTGTGTTTGCGTGTGTGTGTGTGTGCGACACCTTCTGTGCGACACGACAGGCCAAGGAACAGCCGTTAAAGCAAACGAACGACCCTTAGTGGTTCAAGTATGGTGAACCACAAGCCCAGCAAACAGCAACCAGCAACTAGCAACCTGCACCACCTTCTCCATTTCACTTGCTGTGTTTTGCCCTTCCTTTATGCCCAGTGTCCATTCAGTGAGACATTCGATACAGCAGGCAGTTCTGTTCATGAGGTTCATTCAACTTTCAGCCTTTCCTTTTCTCTATGCACGCACATATCAAGAAAGCAGCGAGACAAACGCACTTGCTCACTCAGTACTTGGTTGTTTTTTATTACACTACGATAAAGCTAAAGCTACGCAATTGATAATAACGAGAAATGAAAAACAAGATTCATATATTTCACAATTAGTACACAAACATCTCTGTTAATGGTCTAATTTAGATTTTATTGCTGTTTACAAATCTTATTTTTATTTATTTTTTCCTTTTATAATTATTGCTGCTGAAATGTTGTTCTGATTTAGAATACAACTCGAATTGCCTGAGCAGAACGAGCAGCTACAGTACAATTGCGCGTTTGACGTTGTTAGGGGCATAGCCTCGGTGGCGCAGTAGGCAGCGCGTAAGTCTCATAATCTTAAGGTCGTGAGTTCGAGCCTCACCCGGGGCATGTAATTTTTTTTTTTTTTTAAATTCCTAAGCAGTAAGAGCTTGAGTCGCAGGCGAGTTGCATTAGTATTCATAATTTCGTTTTGTTCAGCATATTTTAATTTTGTTTAATACATCTCGTGCAAGTTGCATTCTTCGTTGCACGCACAGGCTAAGCAACTAAGTTGCCAGTAAATATTGAGGCACTGCCCTGCTGCTGATTGTCATGCGCTTCAGTTTTTTATTGGCTTTAATTGATGTCAAGTAAGGGAGGAACGCTCGTCATAGAGAGAAAGAGCAGAGGATATCATTTGAGCATTTGAGCATTTGTTCTGGCGTTGCCTTAAGCAATAGGAATGCCACATTTTTTGCGACACACCCACAGAGCGAATGATATATATGCATTCGTATTTTACTGCCCTGCCACGCATTAAGATACACATAAATAAGGTCAAGACATGCTAAAATCGTATTAGGGAGTGTGTGTGGCACCATTCAGAAAGACGTTTATTTTAATCGTTCATATTCATTTGTGGTTTCTGCTTGCAGTTGTCGCGCTGACGCATGAAATGGATGGCAAGTGGAACAGCCAAAGCAGGAGCCAAGCGTGTTAGGAGCAGCATTTAAGCAACATTTTTAGTGTAGACACTGATACGGACGGACGGCTACAGCATGGCCAATGCTCCAATTCCAGCTCCAGCGCCAGTCGAAAAGCAGATGTTAAAGTCCACAAAGCAAATTACCTTGGCAATATGCAGTCTCAGCCTGATCATGTTTGGCTTTGCCTTCAGCCCCACTCATGCAGCTGGCGAGGTAGACGATGCGAAGGGGCCGTGGCATGTAGCGACAGCCCACGAGAAGAGTGGACAGCTACACTTTGCCACGGCTGAATTCACTGAATACAAATCAAAGGCCAACTATACCAAAGATCCGAAATTCTCAACAAAAGCAATGGATCCCGTTTACAACTTCACACGCTACTTGTTCGATATTATTTTACCGGATGAGGCCGCGGTGCCGCCTGGTGAGTAATGAAGTCAAGTCTTTAAAGATAACAATTGAATAACTCGTATTTCCCTCTAGGCTATATTGTTGTCAAGGGCGAGAACACCTTGGCCCTGGGACCGAAGGTTGAAGACATTGATTGGCGGGAGCTTTTTATGCAATACTGGATAGTGCTCATCTGTGTTGGCATTCTGGCCTTCTTGGCTGTCATTATGCCTATCGTAGCGTATGTTGACTGCACACCCATTAGTTACCATTGTTATGCTAACTTATTCCTATAAATTACAGCGTATGCTATTGCTGCTTCTGCTGCTGTCGTCGCTGCAAGGAGGGTTGCCCGCCGTGCGACAGCCAAAAGGATGCTCGCAAGCGCTGCTGCTGCGGACTGTTGCTGCTCCTACTAATCATTGGAATACTGTAAGTCAAGTCCTTGTCTACATATCAGCAATTTATTAATCACCGTTCTCAATTCTATTGCAGCTTTGGTGTCATTATAGCCTTTGCCACCAATCGGTTGCTCGATCGTGGCTTAGAGGAGACCACAGATACAATGCGGCGCGGCAGCCAGGATACGAGTACCTATCTCAAAGATGTCTCGGATCATATCAATCATCTGCTTGTAAATAACTATGGAGAAATGGACAAACATCTGAGCGACATGCTAACAAGTAAGTGTATTTAGTCTAATACATATTCGAGTTCAACCAATATTCCATCTATTTATTCTTAGATGCTCACACTCACATATTCCTGGATCTAATGGACGCCTCTGAGGCGAATGCGGTTTATGATTTGAAGCGCATATTAGAGAACATGGAAGAGGCACACAAGCTGATACAAGAAGTGGATAAATTGGAAAAGGATTTGCGATTCTATGGCACACAGCTAAGAGATGGTAGCCATTACTTAACCATAAAGTTCTTACGGATTCAACTGCAAATTGATTTGTTTTTTAGGTTTGCGTGGCGTTAAACGTGATGTTAACTACGCCTGTGCCGTGCTCTGTGGCAATCGGGAATGTCTGCACTTTTTGAAGAAGACGGAGATTGAATTCCTGGACAGCTCAAAGTGTTTGCAATATGAAGAGGTAATAAATTGATATTTTCAGCAAAGAATTAATGCTAATCAAATTTTAAATTCCTGCAGCTGCCAGACACGTCTCAATACTCAAAGGCCATGGAGTTGATAATAGCCAAAAACAGTGGCAAAACAGCTAAAGAAGTTATAGATCGTTTGCAGCATGTGGGCAAGCGTATCAAGTCTGGCATCGATCCACTTATACCACCGATAATTCGTGACATACACAACGGACAGGAACAATTCCGCAATCAGGCAACGAACGTACGCAACATAATCGATTCGGCCATAGGCAGCATACATTCCAATACTGTCGAGGTGACCAAGACCTTTGATGATGTATACGATACATTTGGAGCCGACCGAAGCATTATCAATGTGATTGTTTGCTTTGTGTTGTTGATTGTAAGTCTGAAGTGAGGCCTTGCTATGCATCAATACTCATCCGATAATCTATTTCAGATTCTCCTATTTCTGATAATTGCTCTGATTTGCGGCTGCTGTGGACGTCGTCGTCGTGGCTATCGCGATGATTGCTGCAGCAAGGGCACAGGTGCCTCATGTCTGCTACTGTGAGTACTTGAAATACATTATATAAAATTAATTAATATTAATCAATTCTAATTTCGTTTTACAGTGCCATGCTATTGATATTCTGCGTATTCTCTGTCATCGTTATGGTTGGCCTAACTTACTTTGTCTTGGGCGTCGTCAGCTATCAGGGCGCTTGTGCTCCGCTCAGAGATCAGGAATCGAATGCCTTGTTCCGTCAGCTCAACTCACTTATAGATCTCAATCGTAGTTTGCCAAAGAGCGAGCACAAGTCGACGAAGCCCCTACGCATTTCGAACGTCATCAAAGCCTGCCAGGCTGATCACTCCATATTCAAACTTCTGCAAGATAACGATTTATATGACATTGATAATCTGGTGCGCGTGAAGGTGATTAGCGATACGCCGTCAGTGCCAATTTTGTTGGCTAATTTGGATAACTTCACAATACTTACGGATAAGGACAAGCGGGATCTCGAGCTGCTGCGCAACAGCAATTTGTCCAGCTATCACAGCAAGAAGTTTACGGATCATATGTGCAATCAGTTAACACCTGTCGATCTGCCCACCATTGCCAATCAGCTGAAGGAGTTCCGCACCAGCCTTTGGACTCAATGGGGCATTTATGATTGGGCCAGAACATCGCTGTACAATGAGGCCTACAACCTGCAAAGATATCACGATGAATTTGTTGATAAAATCAAAACAATAATTAGCAAAATGACCGAGAAACTATTAAAGATTGACGAATTGATATTGTATAAGGGAAATGCATTCGGCGAATCCATCAAGCAACTTCACGAATCAACGGAGCGCTCAGAGATCTTCCTCAGAGATCATGGCCAGGAATACGTCAGTGGACTGCGTGAAAACCTGACTAGCTATATTAAGGAACAGGTCGTACACTATATGGAAATGGTGGTAGAGAAAAGCCATGCAAATGTTGGCAGATGCGCTCCCCTAGCAAAGGTCTATGATCGAAGTGTGGATCTGATTTGTCATCGTCTAGTCGATCCAATGGTGAGCTGAATAACTATATCTATTGATTCATTATATAGTAATAACAATCTAAATTTCTCTTTCAGAATGGTTTCTGGGTGGGCGTGTTGCTGTGTGCCGTGCTCTTCCTGCCCGTACTCTTTGTGGCCCATCGCTTGCTGTGCCTCTACAAGAAGATTGATCCGTATTCGGCGCCACCTGTAGCTATAGTCGAGGGCGGGTAAGTGCCGTAAATTACCCTTGCTATGTTTGGACCTACTCGCATGTTTTGTCGTTGGGCAAATGAGAGACAAATTTCGTTGCGCTCGTTTCGCTTGGCCTCAACAAAATCGATTTCGAAATCACATTTGTGTTTGTTTGCACGCTCTAATCGGATATAGTTAACAATTTACTTTCATTCTCATTCCATTGCTAACCAATGCTATGCCATGCCATGCCATGCCATGCCTTGCCATGTCACACACTTATTGCACAATCGCAGCAGCGACTATCTGTATGATGCCTATAGCGAGCGCGATCGCGAACATGTGCCACTGGCCAAGTAAGAGAATTAATCAGAAGCAGCAGCTCCACAGTCAACACACTCACTTCATGCTCTCTTCTGCTGCTCCTTTCTGTTTTTGTTTTCAGTGTGCCAAAGAAGCGACGCAAGGCCTACGATCGAAGACGCGAACAGCAGGAATACTATGAGGATGCATCGCCGAGTGTGTCGCGTGGGGCACGCTCCAATGGCGGCGGCGGTGGTGGCGGTGGTGTTGACGGAGCTGCTGGCAGCAGCAATATGCGCTATAACGATGTGGCACCCACGTAAGTCAAACAGACAGAAAGCAAAACACGAACAACAACAACAACAACAAGCGCTGCCTCTCAATGGATATTTGAGTACAGAGATATAAAGATACAGGGGATACATATATGCAAAGATATATTTCGATACATAGCTACCAGATGGTTTTAATTAACACACATATTAACTGCATTTATATTGTGGCTAATTACATATCTATCTACATATCTATATCATCTAAATGGCCGGCTAAATTTAATTGCTACTTTTTGATTTCATTTTATTTAGCGCTAAAGTCGTGGCCCTTGATACAAGGCCCAAAGCACTGGCGACAGATGGTTTCTTTTAGGCATGACTCGAATTGCAAATGGTTTGGTTTCTGTATATAGTATATATTATTTGCTTATGTAACTGCCCACAACATGCAATGTGTATGTGTGTGTGTGTGTGTGTTAGTGTATGTGCGTTGCTATTGTTTGCAATTCATATACATATGTCATTTGTTGTATATACAGTTCAGCCTATCTGATCCCGAGAGGAATTAGCTATAGCTCATCATATAAAATTGATCGAAATGATACAATAACTTTTTTTTTTAAACATACATTTTCTTTTACATATATTAACATAAATCATTGTAAAAATTAAAATTTTATTTGTTAAAAGAATTTTGTTGACCGTGATAGAGAAGCTTTACTGTATATATGTTTATGTATCCATGGCCAGTCTGATGGACATTAACTGGAAACCTCTCATTTGCTTTATATCCAAACTCATTTCACAATTTGCTGCCTAGTTAACATATCTAAATACATATAGATATATACATACATATGGCTGACTCCATTGCCCAACTTCGAATGCAACTAACTGCTGCTGTTAAACAAAAACAATAACTTAAACTAAACCAAGCTCTTAATGCAGTTGTTGTTTCTTCTTTGGTTTTGTTACTTTTTGTGTTGTGCTGAGACTAAAATGTTTCGATCTTTAACCTATTCTCATTTCTTTGCTTCACAGACATTGGGACCACGAACCGCCGCGCTATCACAATCCACCCGTGGCACCACCATCATCCGAATACGAGCGACCTCCGCCGTATTATTATCCGGGTGCTTCTGATCAGGATTAGATACCGGATGAATTCATTCAAGAACTTTGTTGGGATGGCTTTAATAGAAGAGAAGGGAAGGGAAGTGAAGTGGATTGGAATCGATGGCATGAATGACGCATGAATTTCATTTTGACAACAAAAACAACAACCCAATTTTACTGAGACTGTAATTTTAGTTGAGAAGTTAGTTTTTTATTTAGAGTTATGTAATTTGTAGCATCACAAGTGAGTTAATATCTTATATATATACAAATATATATATATATATATATGCGTTTCTTTCGAACTGTATCAGACGATCTGCCAGCGCGTGGAATGTGAGTTGTAGTTGGCGCGGAATATAGTAAAGATTAGATTATAAGCACGGATCGAGACAAACATAATTCACATAGTCCCCTACATATATATATAAATATATTGTTTAAAGTTTAACACATTGAAAATGTTGCCAAAAGAAAAGCGAGCGTGAAAAGTTTGATGGAATAAAAGCAATGCATTGGGTTGATAAACGATGGATGTATATGCACAGCTAAAGCATTTAATAAGTTTAATGTTTAGAACAAACAACATAAAAAAAACAACAACATGAAGACCACAAAAATATCCCAACAAAACTTAAAAGAGAATAACTGAACAATTCTCACACAGCTTTGAGCAAGGAATCTCCCTTGACAGTATCTCATAAATGCACAATATAATCAATATACAAGCAAAAAAGAAAGAAAGAAAAAAATGTTATGCAACAGCCAGTTATATATATATATGTATGTATATACGGTTAGTGTATATTTAAAATCAAAAACTGCCATTTTAAGTTAGTGGAACAGATCGAAGCTGAGCAGGCAAAAATAATACAGCAGCAGAAACACAGAAGATGCCCTCGGCTAAAGTTTTTTTTCAATGCATTTGAATTACGAGTGTTTGAAACTAATATACCCGACTTCCTTAAGCAAAAAGCGGAACCTTTATATAATATGTACGTACTTTGAATTGTCGTGTAGTTGACTAAGCAAACGTTTCAACTCTACAGAAAACAAAAATGTTTTTAATTATTAATCAAATTCGGGGCAAACTGCAAGTAGCCAAATAATACAAATTATAATTATAATGATAATATACAAAATTATATGATAAAATTGCACACACACACACACACACACACAGACATAAACATACAGACACACACACATACACACGTATTAAATATGTATTTTAGTTAAGCGAAAATAAGAAATGAAAATGAAAATGAAAAACCAAGAAGTATTTATGAATGTATGTAATTATTCTCTTTCTATTATTTACGTACATCTCATGAATTTGTCTGCCTATGTCATTTTTTAGTGTTTTACAATAAGCCAATAGTATGGAATCAAAGTTTTAAATGCTACAAGAAAAATAAAAAACAAAAAACAATTACTGTGAAAATATATATAAAAATATAAATTATATAAATATGGTCTCTTGGATTCTCTTTGACTACCTTTGCCTCAATTGTCACAGCAAATTTTTGAACTTTGATAAACTATCTAAATGAAAGATAGTTTTGACATATGAGTGGAATCAAGCAGTAACTGCAGCTCTTTACGTAGTTTACACTTAGTAACGTCCGCACTATTGCTGGTAAGTAGGATCCATGTAAAACTTTGAACTTTCGAAGGGCCTATAAATAGATCGATTCAATGATAATAGCTTACATTTTAAAGCATACTTCTAGGGGTCATAAAAATGCCAACACCCAGTAGCTGTACTTTGATTTGCAAGTCATATATATTTTTGTACTCGTAAATATCAATGATACAAGTTTTATTCCAAGCGTTACTAAACTTTATCCGCCGTTCTTAACTTTTGAATAATCAATCTGATCCTCGAAAACCATCTTGCAATTTAAAGCCCATAAAATTTCCTTATTATAGATGCCAGAGTAACCGTGCGTAAGTAGAAATGAGAAGCATATTCAAAGATTAACATGGAATATCTTAGAGGTTGAGATAAAATCGGACAAATTGGACAAGATCAACTATTGTTATACCTATATTCCAAAAACTCGTAATACTATGGCAAACGACTATATTCATATATTTAAGCACATGAGTCACTGCAAGATGAGACGATTGAACATACAATTTTGGGCAATATGTGGGCTTAGTTGTATGTTTATAGTCGCCGTAATAGCACCGGACGTAAGGCAGTGGAGCGAGGAGCGAGTGAGCACACACGAGCATATGGGACAGTTACACTTTCCCACCACTATATATTCTAAATACGAGAAGAGCGTTACGTATACCAGAGATACGGATCCGTCAACTCCAATCACACAACTGCTGGATGATTTCAGTATATCTCTACTTAATTTGACTGCGTTCAATCGATCCATACCGCCTGGTAATGTGATACACATTTTACCTTTTATATTATTTCCAGTTTGATTTATTAACTTTAGGCTACATTGTGGCCAAGAGCGACTCGCTGGTGATGGGGCCAAAGGTAGAGGAAAATGACTGGAAGGATCTTCTAGCCGAATATTGGCTATCGCTGCTCTGGGTGATATTTCTGATAATACTCATCATACTGATGCCCTGCATAGGGTAAGCACGCATACATCTAGAAGTGGAGATATGCAAATATGTTATTTAATTGATATATATCCTGCTGGCAGCGTTTGCTATTGCTGCTTCTTTTGCTGGCGACGCTGCGCTGGGGGCTGTCCCACCTGCGATTTGAAGTCGGATAATCGCTGGCGATTGGCTTACGGCATTTTGCTCGGCTTACTGCTGCTGGGTCTTTTGTAGGTTTTACTCTTAAGCAAATGTACTCTTAGCGGTCTCTTATAACTGTTGGCCTTTCTCAGTTTGGGTTTGCTGTTCGCTTATTCGGCGAACAGTTCTTTGGAGCGCGGCTTCGAGTATACGCAGAAGACGATGCGACGCGGCAGCGAGGATACGTGCCAGTTCCTAAAGGATTGCGCGCAGCACATTCGCCATTTGCTCGTTAGGAACTACCAGGAAATGCAAACACAACTCAATGATGTCCTAAAGAGTAAGAACTCTAGAAAACAAATCTGTTGCTATTGAAAACTTAGACTTCCGTCTGAGATAACTTACTTAATTTAACTTTCAGATGCTCACACTCACATTTTTTTGGACCTCATGGATGTCTCTCAGGCTAATATGTTATTCGAGTTGGAGCTCATCTTGAGCCACCTGAATAAGGTTCGGACTGACTTCAAGGCCGTCAAATTCTGGCAGGATGAATTACTGTTCTATAATGCACAATTGCGAGATGGTAAATTCATATATATTTAATAATAATAGAGATATATTTGTTTTTTATGCTAGGCCTTCGTACTGTCAAGCGTGATATTACTTACGCCTGTACAACTCTCTGTGCGAGTCGCAGTTGCTTGCAGTTTTTGAAGACAACTGCAATCGAGCTGATGGATACGTCGTCCTGTCTGCATTTGGATGATGTAAGTTCAATTTCACTAAATCCATGGAAAGTTGTCATCCATTAGGCAGAAGAAAGCATTCAAAGATCTTCATGATATTGTAAATATTCTCCTCTGATAGCTGCCGAACGTGGAAGACTATGTGACTGGAGTGGAGGAGATGATTAACAATGGCTTACCTGAAATACCCGAAGAGGGAATCCGCAGAGTTCAAGTTCTAGGAACGCAAATCAACGAAGCCGTAGAACCGATCATACCCCCTATATTGACCGATCTGCAGGCTGGAGAACTTTTGTTCAGGGATGAATCGAAGGTCATGAGAGAATCAATTAATGGGATGATCAACAGCATACACTTCACCACTCTCCGATCGATAAAGTCTCTCGAAGATGTCGACGCCAAGTTTGGCACCATGCGCAGTGGCGTCCATGCTATTGTGCTCGTAATCCTCACGATCGTAAGGTAAAATTGGATAACAAACTATGGCTGCTACATGTTGCTCTAATCTGTTGCAGATAGTAGCTTCGCTGATGGTTGCCTTGGTCTTTGGATGCTGTACACCTATAAGACGGTTTGGTCGTGATGGACTTTGGAGCAAAAGGTCGGGCGCCCTTTGCCTCTTATTGTAAGTAACAATAAATCGAATTCCTGACCAATCTTTTAGCTGCATTTCCCATCCGTATTGTTCTCTGTATTGTGTCTGTTAACTCTTCCTTACTTCAGTGCCATTATATTGATATTCAGCATATTCTGGCTCACCTCGCTGGTTGGACTATTTTATTATATCTTCGGCATGGTGACCTATCAAGGAGTGTGTGCTCCGTTTCGCGATCGGGAAAATAATTCCTTTTTCCAGCAAATGGATCCCCTAATTGATCTCAATCGATTCTTGCCAGAAACCGTGAAGAATATGGATATTGAAAGGGAAAGAGATTGGGAAGCACATAGAGCGCTGATAGGCACAATAAGAGAGAGTAAAATGAAACACAGTGAGGATATGCGAGGGAAAAGGCAAGCTGAAAGGGAAACTGTGCCACTCCGCATGTCGACGGCAATTAAGGCATGCGAGGCCGATGAGTCCGTCTTCAAATTGCTCCGTAGGAACAACGTCTACGACATAGAAGAACTAGTTCGACTAGAGGTTTTGACACAGCACCCAGCGCCAAAGGTACCCATTTTCAAGGAGGATATCAAGGACTTTGTGGTGCTCACGAAAGAGGAACACGTTAAGTTGATGGAGGCCGGGTACGGCAAATTAACCGAGTATCATAGTTCGACCTTTCTAAAACATCTCTGTGATGAAATAACGCCCGTTGCATTGCCAAAACTCATCCGGGATATCAGAGAGCTAGAGGCCAGCCTAAAAAGCGATTGGGGTCGCTATGATCTAGCCAAAGTCTCCTTGGCCAATGCAGCGAATGATCTGGAGCGATACCATCTTAATCTCGTGCACAAGATCCAGACCACTATGGAAAAGATTAAGATAAAGCTGAAGGAAATCGATACTTTTATCCTATATGAAGAATTGCCATTTGGCGAAACAATGCAAGGTCTACAAGAAGCTATAAAACACTCCCAGGAGTTCATTAGATCCAATGCTGAAAGCTATGCACGGTATCTGCGTACGAATCTAACTACTTACGTTGAGGGCGAGGTGTCCGATTTCATGGAGAGGGTTATCCACCATTGTGAAAATGAGGTCGGCAAGTGCAGGCCCCTAGCCTATATCTACTACACAGGTGTCGACTTGATTTGCCGTCGTCTTGTCTATCCCATGGTGAGTGTGACGAGCATCTTCTGAAATACATCTCAAACTTCATTTTGTTGCGCTCCTAGAATGGCTTTTGGGTGGGCCTGCTGTTCATTGCGTTGCTTCTGTTGCCCACTCTCTTTGTGGCCCATCGATTGATTTGCCTATACAAAAAAGTCTATCCTGGACCACCACAAGCCCCAGTCCAGTAAGCCTTCTTTGATCCACTTGTAGGCCTGTCATTTGAGTCAACTTCATTTCCACAGATGTCGAGCCTGCGGCGGAGTTTCACTTGTGGATGATGGGACTAATAAGCGCTCTCCGATCTGCATTCTTCAGGACATGGTTGATAATCCCGCCGAATCTGAGACCACAGTGGTTGAAGTGACTGTTGAGCCCTCAGCTTCCACGGAAACAATCAAATCAGATACGGGTACCTTATGCAACAGCAGCAGTAAGCACAAACAGGACTAGACACCGAACTAAATGTATATATGGGACTCCGATTTGCACTCACTCTACAGTTGCTGGTTCTTGAAATGTTTTATTTGAATCGTAATATTAAAGTGAATTTTCGTTTAGTTTAAATGGTTGTGGAAGCGACTCAGAGAGTGAGAGTACAGAGTTCCTCCTACGTGCATCCTATGATATATGTAGCTGGCCCAGTTATGCTAAACAAGCGACTTTGATTATCGTGTTGCTCAAGTGATAAAATGTTTAGAGCTCCGCTTGATTCATGTATTCAAATAAAGATCATCATACCCATTGTGTTTATTGTGGGATTGTCTTATTCGTACCACGACCCTCTATATATATGTTTATATGTATCATTTCTCGGCTCGGTTGTCTGCATAAAAAAGCTCTTGATTTCATTAGAACATATCCGGTAGCAGACATAAAAAGCGCCGCGTCATGCCTTTGGCCTCTCATCAATCATAATATAATTAAAGCGTGCACCATATCTAATCTGACAAGAGGTTGCGAACAAACCTAAAAAAAAAACCGTATAAGAAACTGACTACCGGGTGAACATGCCGCCAACTGACAACGAAAGCGACTTTATTGTGAGGCTGCTCAACAATGCAAGGAAGCTGACTCTACAGAGCGGTGGACGAAAGCGAAGAGCGGATACCCTAAAAAATTTAATTTAATTTATCAACAGCAACAAAATAAGATAATATATGCAATTTCCATTTCTTTTACTTAAGCAAAAAATTTAGAACTAATGTAAATTCTTCCTCATAGCATATTGCCTTTCGTTAGCAACGAAAAGTGAAAACTGTTCAACATATGCTTTTCATAATTTTCAACTAAAAATTAAATCACGTTTCTTATCAACAAAGTCTGATTGCTGTAGTTGTTGCTGTTGTTGTTGTTTTTGGCAGTGAGTGCCTTTCTTTTTCATAAATTACCAAAATAAAAGCAAAAGAATAATAACAACAACAACAACAACAGCAACATCAACAACTCGAACAAGCGTAATAACAATGAAATTTCACTTTCAATTTGTGTGTGTAAAAACAAAAGACTTAAGACACGAACTTGCTGTGGTCGACGCCGCATTGTCGCAGTCGACATCGTCGTCGTGGTCGCCGTCGCAATCGTAGTGAAGGTTAACTTGACCGATTTGATATTCAATTGGTATAACGGTTTCGAAAGCCACATCACACAAAATGGCCGCCAGTCAATGCACTCATTAAACAAGAAAAAAAAAAAACTGAAAATAAAATTGAAGTAAATGTAGTTGATCAAGATCAGTTCTTGAAATTTGATCTTGCTTAATTTGCATCTTAGAAGTTTATAGAACAATTTAGAAGTTTCAAATGGTAATAACTGTGCCAGCTGAGGTTTGCCCGAAATTCGGAAGGCATATTATAAATATCACATTGTGGGTAAGAATATCTAAAATGCAATCTACAATGAATCCAAAAATGTAAAAGATAAATCGAATAACATTTGATCGAGTTAGTCATTTAAATTAAAGGATGACTCATAAGAGAGTCGATGCAAGCGTTTGGAAATGCTGAAAATTAGGTGATGAAAGTTTGATGAATATATACTAGTAACTCGACTGAGTCAGACAACAAAATAATACCCAAAGACACACCTAATTTAATTAAAAACAACATCATTTTTAATAAAAGTATAAAGTTGCGTTCTTCAAATTTTTTATATATCTCACCTTCAACAAACTGTGCAAAGTCCGTGTAAAGCCGGGCTAATTCCTCCACACTATATGCTGCTGTGCATATAAAATTTATAGAGTTTTTATTGTTTGCAATACGCACTTGCACCGGCCTTTATGGTTGGTGTGAAATTTTGCCGTGATGTTAAACAGAGCGTTGCATTTCCATTTCGCATTGATTCGCTTTTCACGTGAAAACTGAAAACTGGCACAGAATTGCAAAAACAACAGCAGGTAACGAAGCTGATTGCAAATGGCACGCAATACGCATTGAAATGCACACAATTAAGTGCCGCAAATGATTTAGAGTGAAAGGCAGTGAAATTTATGGCATGCAAAGCGTGAGAAGCGCTCCACAGGAATCGCTAGCTGCATAAATATTAGAACCTGTTAGGACGCAACTGATGACAGACTGGTCAAAAGTCAAGCAAGCCTCACAGCTGTTTGCCGGCTACAAAGACTTTCGCTTTCGTTTCAGCTACTACCCTAACTATGATTCGCTTCACATTGGACTTTTGCAACCACAAAAATCGTATATAAATATATATACATATATGCAAATCCATGGCTTTCTATCGTGTAAATTTGATTTATATATGTACGCGTATACACATGTCTATTATGCATAAGCTTAACCAGAAATATTTTGTTTAATAATTCGAATTTGCATATTGAAGACGCGTCTTCAGTTGTGTATATGTTAATATGGCCAAACTTGTTTGATTTACAAAATCTGATAAGTGTGTGCGCAATCAATCCTTGCCAGACAGCAAACGCTGTTAAGTTAACAGCGTAACTTAACAGCGGCCAGTTTGCCGCTCGAGTCATTTGAGTGGATTTTTTTCGGCTTTAGCTGGCCACAGCGAAAGAACTGCACAAAAGCAACGCAGCAAAAAAACTAAATTTTCCATGCAGCTCACAGAAACAACTGTTCATTTGTTGTTTTGATACACTAACAAAGAGCTTCTGGAGTTTTCTATGAACTGTGCGACGTAAGCATGTGCGTGGATGTTATGAAGACAAGTATTCAATGCAGGCGTTTTATGCATATCGAACACGAAGACCTGGGTTCAATGCCGGGGCCAGTCAATTATTTCTATTGCTTCATTTTTTTTTTTAGAGCTAAGGTTGATCATTTACATGCGTGACGTCCTGGGTTCGAATCCTGTAGAAGACGTTTTAATTATTTTATTTATTTTTTTTATTTTTTAAATTTTTATTTTTTTTATTTTTATTTTTTTAATTTTTAACAGCTGTTACTACCACATACATATCTGTCTGCAAGAGTATTTTGGGTGCGACACTGCAAGTTTAACTGTTTTATATATTTTATTTGCTTTGTTTTGGTTGTTTTTTAGTGCTGCCCGTTTCTCGTATATGGCGCTCGGACGTGTTCGCAGCGTCAGCCGCAACGACGGCTCAATCGCAGTCTCAGAGTGGGCCACGCTCCAAAGCAACTTCACTCAATTTGAGCCACGACTTATTGTTGTTGCCGCTGCTGCTGCTGCTGCCGCTGTTGTGGTTGCCGTTGTCTTGGCAGTTGGCCGCGCGACTGCGCACAAATCAGTTTCAGTTTTTCAGTCCAACGTGCGAGTTCGCAACGAGTAACGGTTAGTACGCACCACAAAAAAAAACAAAATTATATAGTGCCTTTCGGCAGGAGTTGTGTTTTCAATACAGTGCTACAATAAGTGACTAAGCAGAGCACGAGCGAAATACCTGCAGTATAGTGTGTCCATCATATATTCCATAATAAATAACAATCAAATTTTGTAACAGCAACTATATTGCAGATCAACTGGATATATATATACATATAAAGTGTAATTGCGTCGAAGCTGCATAGAAATCATGGTGAGTGAAGTGTAAAGTGTTTTAGATGATTATCCAAATCAATAAGTGTGTCAAAGAACTACAAAGACAAAAGCAAATTATCATATATTTCCTACGGGCCAAATGCATACCAAAAAAAAAATCGTGGCAAACTCTGAAACAATAAACAAATTATGATAATAAAAAAAAAATACTATAAGAATACAACAAAAATTAAATGAAAACGTGTATTGAAAGTCAGCGAACGGAAAAATGAATGTTTAAGCAAGGCTTGCGAGAACGTCTGACAGCCAGAGCAACCAGACAGACACACAGTCAGACTAGTTGACTGGCTGACTAGCTAGTCGACGGGTTCTGCTTTAGCTGCTGTCTGAGCCGAAGTTGAAGGCAAACCTGTCAAAGACAATGGCTATACAAATATGAATATAAATTCTCGTCAAGTTTCAGTTTCGCTTTTTTAGCGCCCATTTGTATTTTTTTTGTTTTTTTTTTTAACCAGTTGCTTTTCCTTTTTGACTAAAACAACAATATATATAACTGTGCGGCCTCTTACTTCCTTGGGTGCCAAAAGGGGGCTCTAGTTTAGTTTCTGATTTCTTTGCTTTGGCGAATTTCATTACTGCCATTATGGCTAACGACACGCCACCGAGCAACAGCAGCCACATGCCACGCCTCAATTTGGCGCAGTCAAGTAAGAGTCGCTGCCAACAATAACTAGTTTTCCCTCTCTATATACACATATGCCATATGTATGTGTGTGCTTGTGTGTGAGTACAACAATTAATATTTGCTGCTGCTGCTGCAAAAAAAAAAAAAAAAAAAAGGAAAAGCTTAAAAGCTAAAAAAAAAAATCTACAAATGCTGCCACTCAATCGTCGTCGTCGTCGGCTTGGCCCGCCACCTATTGGCAAATCGTCGTTGGCCAAGCGGCCCCAAAAACTGGTCTCGCATAAATTGAAAAATCCGCAAAAATTGGGTTTGAAAACGAGTCGAGCGAAGCCGAAAAAAAAAAATCAAATATATATTGACGACTTCTCTCGAAGCATGTGGGACAGAAAATAGTAAAATGTCATAAAAAAACCAAAGTAATAATATAATTTTCATTAATTAATTAACATTTCAGTGGCCATTGTATGGTAATTAGCTTCCATATATGGAGCAGTTTCCATTTGCCACATAATTCCGAAAAGCGTAATTAAAGCAATCACTTTTCAATGCACGCCCACTCGCACTGCCACGCCCACTCACACTAGCTCGTCAATGGCGATGCCAATAGCAAGACAAGCGTGACTGACATGTGGAGCTGTTGTTATTGTTGTTGTTGTTGTTCGCCGAAAAAAAAAAAACTCTCACTTTCATTTGGTTTGAAAACGCGCGGCTTGACAATTGAGTGAGCACTCGAAGAGAATTTGTTTGTAAAAAAAACAATTCAAAGACTTGACTTTTACATCTGTTTACATTTCGAAAACTCAAAGTAGATGGTAGACAAACACTCACACACACACTTATATATTTAGCTACAATAATTGCACATTGCAATGGAGACAGACTTTCTCCGAAATAAAGGAAAAGGCAGCGACGTTTTGTCTCGCCAGCTGGCAACGGGCCAGCGCGGCGTATGCGTAATCTGAAGCATATACATTACACACACAACATAATAAGCTACCAGCTAAAATTATATACGCACACACATATATGTATGTACGTATGTAATGGCAAACCTGGCAACAGCCAAGCAAAGTTTTGTTTTGTTTAAAATGCAAAGGCGAACAAAAATTATTTTTATTTCATTTTTTTTATTCTTATTCTTATAAAATGTTGCCAAGAATGTTGCTGCCTTAATTGACAAGCATTTATTTATTTTATTTTCATTTTATTTCTTTGTATACACTTACTGAAAGGTTATTTTAATGACCGAACAAGGCTTGTAATATAAATAATATAATTGAAATTAATTTGATGCATTAATTTGGAGAAAAATCGAGACTTGGGAGCTTTTTACTGTATGTATGTATGTATGAAAAGGTTCAGTTTTGTTTCACGATAAAATATGCCGCTAATATTTTAGTACAATATAACACTTCGTTGCTTCGATGTTTTCTTTACTTCGAGATTTAACCCTATATACATATGTCTAGAAGTTAGTGTATTTGGGATTCGTTCAACCGGCTTTAACCATTTTTCTTTCTGTTTCATTTGTGCTTTATCGGAGCTACAATCACTTCAGCCTAGCCCTGACAGCCAGCGCACAGCTGCAGTTCAGATTGTTGAGAGCGTTCGGCTGCCGCTCGAGTGGGCAGCTCAATTGTTAGTGCTGCAGTTGAAACAATACAAATACACACTCACACACACCTACATACACGCACAACAAACACTACAATATATATGTAGCTATGCAATTCACTTTTATGCTGATTTACAATAAATTTGCATAGGCAGTAAAAAGAAGTCAATGGAAAGGCAAATGCGAACGCTGAATCGCATCAATTGGTTATTGAACTGCTCAGCTGCCAGCTGCTAAAAGTCAACTCTCAAATGCACTTCAATTGCGCTCAAAGTGAACCAAAGCCAAAGACAATACACAAAATGTGGCCAAGCAAAACAAAAGACTTAGGCAACGAACCTTCTGCTACGAGCAGGAAGTGCGCATAGAGCTCTTTTGCTTGACTTGAATTTTGTCGCATAATTAACACACATACACACGCACATGCAAACACGTGTGAATGCTGTTCAATGCCAACAATAAACAAATAAGCTAATTTGGAGACACAAAGTAGTAAATCAATCATTTGAGTTAGATATACATATATGTATGCCTATGAAACGAGAGCTGTTTGATTGGCCACAGCAACAACAACTATAAAATTAAACACGTTTTATTGTTATATAAATAAATAAAAAAAAAAACATTAAACAAAATCGATTTACATATATTATAGACAGCCTGCAGCCGCAGGCCTTCGCTGAGCAACATAATCAAAAGCGAAAATAAAAAATATATAAAAATTATTATCAGCGAAAATCATTTGAGCGCTAGCTAAATGCTGCTAATGAAAATAGCTAAATATATACATCAATATATCTGTTTCTTGAAGCTGTGTCTATGAGCATTATCGAACTTTCAAACAGTTGCATAATACATTTTCTGTTATGCTTAAACCCTTTTTTTTGGGGATTTTTTTATACAATTTTTATATTAGTTTGGCATTTGGCCATTTTTCACACGCATTTTGTTTATTTTTAAAACATTTTTTGCTTCATTATTAAACTAACTAGCTAGGCATGTAATTTTTTTTTTTTTTTTTTTTTTTTTTTTTTTTTTTTTTTTTTTTTTTTTGTTATAGATGTATATATATATATTTTTTTTTTCATATACCCTGAACCCATTAAAAATGGGAGTCTAAGCTAATTATATGTATATATGTTGAGATGGAGTCAGAGTTCATTAAAGTTAATACAGTATATACTATATCAGGGCGACAAGCTGAGTCGGTCTAGCCTTGTCTATGTTTCTCTAGTAGATCTCTACAAGAGATAACAGCTTGCAAGTTTTAATATAGTTCCGCACTTCAATATAATCGAAAAAAATCTATATAAATAAGAGCTAGAGCTCAGCTAGACATACAGGCACCAAGTGGAGATAATTTATTGAATCTGGTCGTGGAGTCTACAATTTCTGCAAGCAGCTCACAGATCTAGTGTGGCTCAGGGTATCTCTTCGTCGAGCAATACCCACTCTTGTTTTCTTGCCCATTTTCATTTTCATTTGCCGGCCCTTCCGTCGGCCGCAATTAATTGCAGCTACATTTTATGTTTTATTTTTTCGTTCATAAATTTAACTGACAGAGCCGTAAAATAAAAAAGAAACGTTTGGCTTATTACCGTTTTGCTGTCTAGGCCATATAAAATGCGTTTGCCGCTCTATAAAATGCGCAGCCTCGGACGCGACGTCAATTCATTTGAATATCGAGACAGACAGACAGACGACAGACATAAAGATATACCTAATTTAAACATACTCACAGCAAACAGGTTTAAAAGGTTAAAGTTTAACAAAGAGTTAGACATGGACTAAAGTTAATGCATGTACTAACGACAAGCAACAACAACGAATTTCACTTTGTTGCATGTTGTGTTGCGCTGTGTCTTTTCAGTCTTTTGCTGTCTTCGCTGTCGCTTTGTTTATTAATAAAAGCGCATACGTTTTACATAAGGGGGCGGCTGCTGTTGTACAAGAAAACCAAACAAAAACAAAATATGCATGACATAATGTCCGGGGGCCAGTTCCTTATTGTTGTTTGAATATGCACGCGCCTCCTAGCCCATCAAAGATACACGGAAAACCAGAAAGAAAACGTTTAAACAACAAAATCAAATAAAGCTGAAAACTAACCTAACCAGATCCAAGACATTATCTTGCATGCGTTTTTTCTGAGAGTGATTTATAAACTATATATTCAGATATATAATTAAAAAGTATCATTAAAATTACTAATTAGTGAAGATTGTCGAGTAATAAACATAATTCTTACGCTCAAAGGCTGTGCAGGGGCTAGGCATGTGGCACAAGGTATTGATGCAGATTTAGATATGCATATGTGTATATGAATATACACATATACATGTATACAGATGTTTATCTTTATTATAGGTCTCATATAAATCTGATGTATGAGACAGCAATTGGTTTGGCAATGACTGAAAATAAATATACAAAGAAAAATTATAGAGCTAAACCATTATAAAAGCAAAATGAGTAAAAAATATTTTTTAAAAAATAATTTAAATAATTATATATGTATATAAGTTATGGTGCTGATACACATCAATTTATAAACATTTAGCTCTTGTACTCTTTGTGCTATGTATAAGAGCGATACTGGCAAAAACCTGATATTAATATTTTTAAAATTATAATTAGTCTTTCATTAGTTTTTATTCCTTCGGAAGCGAACTTTCCATCTTCCTATATATAAACATTCAAAGTATCTTAATCTATGAGGTATATGAGGTATATCAGCGACTCCTCGGAATTTGCACAGCATTACATGATCCAGTCATTGGCACTTGTTGCAGAGTCTGGAAAGTGTAAAAGCTGTTATTCAATTTGTTAACTTCAATTAGCATAGCCAAAAGGCTATAAAAACGTAGTTTGGCTGAGGTATTTTGAAATTAAAAGTGCCAAAAACCAGAAAGCAACAAAAACAAACAAAAAATGCTTATAATAAAAGATAATTCAAGCGGCATTTACATTAATGTGACACTGACAAATTGCCAAATTCTTGACGAGGCCAACAACAAGAATGGAGAATGCTGTGAAACTGAAACAGAGACAAAGACAGAGGCAGGCGAAACACAAATGGACGTAAATTTTATTGACATTATGAACAAGATTCAACAAGAGTTCTTTCTGCGCAGTGGAACGGAAGTTGTGTGCAGTCAAGCAGCTAAGAACAATGGGTACAGTAAACACCCCCAAACAAGAACTGCAAATAGACTCACGTTTAAGACATTTGAGAAAGAAAAACAAAAAGCAGAAGCTGTTGCAGTATGCCATTTGCCAACTGCCTAGCCCACTAAGTAGTTCCAGAAGCTTGTAGAGATATTTAGATGTGTATATATGATGTCAATGTCCGTTTCAGGGCTATTACTGTAGCAGGAAGTAACTGGCCAACTGGCCAACTGGTCAGCTGGCCAACAACTTCTCGCTTCCACACCTTCTTTAGCTGCCTTACAGCATCGGCAACGGCATCGGCAGCGCCTTTGGTAATTCGAGCTGCGCAATTTTCAGCATTATTCTAATTGGTCAGTGAACCAGTTTCAGCTGCACTTAAAAGCCACTGACTCATACCCCATATGTACTCTAGCTGTATCTGTATCTGTATTTGTTTGTTCGCCTTTTGCCTGTGTCTAAACTCGTTTTCGTTAACCGACTGTTTGGCCAGATTGCGCAAGGTCGCCGGGTCCAGGACAGGTGCTAGTAGCGCATATTAACTCAATTGCAAGGCGCGGCTGAAACAAAAGAAGGTGCTTAAACGTCAAGCGGCAAGCGGCCAGGCAAAGGTCTGCCAAAAACACAAAACCGAAAAGGTTTATGAAAAGTTAACGAAAAAGAAAAAAAGAGCTAAAGCCAAAATGTTGCCAAACAGTTATGAATGCTGACTTATTAAAGCCGTTAAGACATACACTCACACTCACACACACACACGAAGCTTGCGCGTGTCGCCAACGGTTTTCTTTTTCCATTTTTAGCCGTTTTTTTTATAATTTTATATTTATATTTTTATTTTTATTCGTGTCTCTCTCACCTTGAGCTGAATTTCGGTCAGCTTAATTAAAAGCTTAGCTGTTGTGGTTGGAAAATAAAACTCTGACGAAAATTTCAATAAATTTCATATCAAATGCAACTGCAAATGCGACAATGCAGCGGCATAAAAGCGCAAGACTTAAGCGATAAACGCCATGAAAATGAAAGACTTAAGCGACAAACGCTCAGCAAATACTTGCGCAATTGCTCATAAAAAAAAAAAGAAACCACGACAATAAACATGTGTATGAAATTTATGCAAATAAATTGCATTTGTTGCGCTTATTTATTTCATTTGATACGACACGCATGCGAAATGAAAGGCAAAAAGCTGCAAACAAACCGAAAATCACTTAAAGTCGAGCGTGCGGATTTCGCTTTTACATTCATGCGCTCAAGTGGGATAGATCTGCACATAAATGATCATATTGTGTGTGATATATCGAGCGAGATATCGCAAGCGTGTGCAACAACAACAACAACTGACAACATTTCGAATACCTTGTAAAAATGTGTGAGAAGCAGTTTCGGATTTTACTTTCATTGAGGGAAACCCACATCTATGAATAGTTTCCGACTTAAAAAAGAAAACCATAAGATATATACGATATATTTTACACATTAATTATTCTGCCAAAACAGGGTATTTCCCAGTCTCGCCCACTCGTGCTAAACACTTTTTAATGATTTTTTTATTTCTTTAATTTTCCTCTCTCCAATTTTTGCGCAATTGAACACAGCCAAACAAGAAATTGCCAATCTATTGCTTGGAATGCAGTTCGCTTGTCTCTTATTGTCTTGCGCCCCCTCTCCGCCTTGCTCTCTCTCTCACACACACACTCATTGTCGCCGTCTCGCTCTGCCTCTGTCTATAACTTATTGAGTTTATTTAGTGCTGTCGTAACCAGACAAACAGTAATCGGCAAACCCACAAAAAAAAAGCTTTCGACTTGGCCGGGCTCCAACTCCACAAGCTAATGATTCTTGGAGCCCAGACAATTCGCCCGAAATGGTCAGCACGAGCTTTACGTAAGTTGTAAGTGCGCCAATCGTTGAGAAAATCAGATGATCGAGCAGCTGCCAAAGTTCTGAGCGAACAAAAAATGAAGTTCGCTTTCACACCGAAGAAAATGAAAGGCATCTAGACGTCATTTCATTTCCGCGAAAACCAGTTGTTCCAGTTCCCTCGTTCCTTGTGCGGCTATCTCGCATTCCATTTTATGCCGGTCCGTGCAATAAGGAACCTTTTTTTTCTGCGCCGACAAATTTTTGTATTTTTGCTTGGTTTTATTGTGACGTGCGTTTAATTTTATAATTTATGCACTTATTTTTACCAAGCAGCCAAATGAAGAGTTTAGCTGATGTTCAGATAAGCACTTTTAAGTCCAAACCAGTTTCACTTTTTGCGTTCTTCTAAGGAGACGATTTATGTGCTCGTCGGAGTGTTTATGGCCAAAGTCAGATCGTAAATTATATACCCCCCACAGGCAGCAGCGACCTTGATACCATCCGCACTCATCTCGCCCTCTCTCCCAGTCCTGTTGGGCGTGGCTAGCTAACTGTAAGTGCTCATGAGCTTAGCAGGCATTGCACGTTTGTGCCAATTTTAAGTTTTGGCCAATTCTTTCTAACTGTCTGCGAATGAGTTGTGTAACGTGTTCTTAATGACGACTGACAATAGTCAACAGGCACTGAATACCAATCAGACAGACGGGCAACAGGTAACAGTCAACTGGCATTTGCTGATAGCCAAACACGGGTAGCAGGTAACAGGTATCAGGTACTCACTGATAGCCAAATGCAAACACGTAATAATATCCACGAGCTGGTAAAGGTTTAGAAAGCATTTTCAGCTATCCATCAAAAACGTAGAAGGAATAGTTATTTATAAACTGTCAAAGATAAAAAAAAACTTGAACAGTTATGTGAGACATTTATCATATTTGATATTGTCTCTAATGACAGAACGAATTCATTTTTGATATGTTTAGTATGTAATAAAGACAAGAGAAATCTAAAAATCCTACAGGCCAAGCATAGATGCCTAGAAATCTATATATATTAAGAGCTGAAAGTATCTATGCTTAGGCAGGTTACGGTAAAATTATATAAAGGTTACATATATCGTCTCAGCTTACACATACATCTCTTCACGTATTCATATATTATGATCAAATATGAATATACCACATATAAATAATCGCTTTAGCTCAAAGCTGATTACAATTTCTAAACAAATTTGTATATGAGTAAAGATAAGTTTTAGAGCAATCTCCTCAAAATTTCAGCTCTTGCAGCATAGCCAAACATTATGAAAGATCGTCATGCTGGCAAAAAAGTTCATTGATCATCATGCCTTCTCTTCCATTGTACTCCAAGCACGAATTGTATAGGTATTTCAAAATGAAATTTGGACAGTGTAGGCCGTCGATAGGTCTTATCATTCAAAGTCAACGCACAGTCACCCGATTCGGCATTGTCATTGCCAGAGGGCTTTTGTATTTGGCTACTGGTTTACTAATGTGAAGATGTCACCGAAAATTACTTCACAATCAAATATACAAAATGTATACAATAGTTGTACACATATGCATGATAAAGAGCACTAAATAATTTTAATTAGTTGTTGAGACAACAAGTGGCTGTCCGGGTTGTTAACTGGGTCAATGTCAAGAGCTGGACGGCGTCTTTTGTTTGTAATTTGTATTTACGTTTATTATGTTTGGGCGCCTTTTCGGTATGTGAGCAAACTGTTTCGGCGCAGCTGGTGGAATGAAGGGTCGCTCTGTGCTCTGACCTTCTCACGACAGCAAATTAAAATCCATTTCTGTCAAGTGCCACGTAATTTGCTGAAACATGACGGGCTGCCCCGCCCCCACATACATAAATCATCTGCATATTTCTGTGAGTAATTGCGCTTAACGTTGCTCTTTGTTTTTGTTTACTTTACAGTTGCCGCCGCGATTGCTGAGAATTGCCTTTGTGATATGTCTGCTGATTGTCTTGCTCTCAACCTCCACAGACAGTGCACAGAGTAAGTTGAAAAAAAAATATACTTAAATAAATTTGAAGATAAAAGTAAGCAAAAAAGTTTTACCAAGGGGACACCCGGGTTTGAACCGGGGACCTCTCGATCTGCAGTCGAATGCTCTAC